CACCACTGTGTCCATAAGTCCTCACTAGTCAAGCATCAAAAATCTGGTGCAGATCGGACGATATATCACTGAGATATAACAGTTTGAATAATCTAGGGGGCGCACTTGAGTCAAAAGTAAAACAACAATACCATTGCGTGTTTAAGTGCTCACTTATCACACACCAAAAATATGGTGCCGATCGGACGACATGTCACTGAGATATAACAGTTTGAATAATCTAGGGGGCGCACTTGAGTCAAATTATAAACAACACTAACAATGTGTTTAGACATGGTCACACATTATGCCATAAAAATCTGGTGCAGATCGGATGATATATCAGAGAGATATAAGGGTTGGAATATTATAGGGGGCGCTCTAGAGTCAAAAGTTAAAAAACATTACTAGTGTGTCCATCAGGGCTACATAATAATATACCAAAAATCTGGTAAAGATCGGATGATATATCATTGAGATATAACTGTTGCAAGATTGTAGGGGGCGCTCTAGAGTCAAAATTTAAAAAACATTACTACTGTGTCCACCAGGGCTAAATAATAATACACCATAAATTTGGTGCAGATCGGCTGATATATCACTGAGACAAAACAGTTTGAATAATGTAGGGGGCGCCCTTGAGTCAAATATTAAACAACAAAACTAAAATGTCCATCAGTTCTCAGTAATGACGTACCAAAAATCTGGTTCAGATCGGATGTTGTATCACTGAGATATAACTGTAAGAAGAATGTAGGTGGCGCTGTGGAGGTTCTTGGCCACTTATCATGGAACCCAGTTCAGATGTGGATAATGATCAATCATAGTGATTTTGGTTCACCTGGGCTCAAATCTGTGCAATTTAGAGCCAAACGTATTGCAACGGCGTCACTTTATAATTCGCCATGGCGCCACGCCCACATTCTCCAGCTATAACTGTTTTGTTGTTTAAATCAAGTCAGACCATCTTATCTGTCTTCTAACACAGGATCATCCTGATTATGTGAAGGGTGTCAAAGAAGGACCATTCCAAGCCAAAAAAGTCACTTCCAGTTCTGAGGGGGCGGGGTTTTGATGACGTCACAATATGACCTCAGTGTATCGTCGGGCATGGGACAGGGATGACTCGTGCCAAATTTGGTGCAAATCTGTTTTTCAACTAGAAAGTTATAACGTTTGGAAATTTATGGCGTGAAGCTCAACTTTGAGGCCTGGCCACGCCCCTTTAACAAAACGAAACCCAAAGCTTTTGATAACTTTTACTCTCCAATGTCTTAGAGGCCTAATAACCAATTTTTAAGTCAATCCTTCAAAATCCCTAGGAGGAGTTCGTTAAAATTCGCCGTTAAAAACGCCCAAAAATTAACCTTTGACCCAAAATAGCCGACTTCCTGTTGAGTTTAGACCGGAGCGCCAAGAGACTTTTTCATAGGTCCTGAGAAGATACACATGTTCACCGAGTTTCAGATTTATCGGTCGAAAAATGGCTCGGGGCTGAAGTTTTAAAATATTCTAGGTGGCGCTAGAGAGGCTATTGCGCAATTATCATGGTTTCCTGTTCAAGGGGCGGGCAATGATCGATCATAGTGATTTTCATGAACCTCGGATCAAATCTGTGGAATTTAGAGCCAAACGTATTGTAACAGCGTCACTTCTGACTTCGCCACGCCGCCACGCCCACATCTTCCAGGGGAAACGCTTTGCGCTTCAAAGCAAGTCAGACCAACTTGTTATCTGCCTTCTAACACAGGATCATCCTGATTGGGTCAAGAGTGTCAGGGAGGGAGCATTCCAAGCAAAAAAAGTCACTTCCTGTTCTGAGGGGGCGGGGCTTTGATGACGTCAAAATTTGACCTCAGGGTATCGTCGGGCATGGGACAGGGATGAGTCGTGCCAAATTTGGTGCAAATCTGTTTTTCAAGTAGAAAGTTATAACGTTTAGAAATTTTTGGCTTGAAGCTCAACTTTGAGGCCTGGCCCCGCCCCCTCAACATGCGTCGGTTTGCACCGTTTTGATAACTTTAGGTCCCCCATGCCTACTGAGCAAAATGGCGAAAGTTTGAAACCGATTGAGCGAAATCCCTAGGAGGAGTTCGTTCAAATTCGCCGTGTACGAAAAGTGAAAAACGGCCAAAATTGACCCTTTGACCCAAAATGGCCGACTTCCTGTTGGGTTTAAGGCATACCTCCAAGAGACTTTTTTTCTTTATTTGGTGGGTTCTACCTATGTACCAAATTTCAGCTCTCTAGGGCTTACCAGTTTTCATATCTCACGTTAGGGGGCGCTGTGGAGCAGTTTGGCCACGCCCACTTTTGGTTCCATTAAATACCTCGCATTTCTCGCGGGGGACAATTTTGGGTGAAATATGGTGAGTTTTGGGATATGTTAAGGCCTCCAAAAATGCGATCTTGTGCGGAAAAAAATAATAATAATAAACAGCACAATTACGGAAAAAAATAATAATAATAAACAGCACAATTACAATAGGCCTTCGCAGCGCTTAGCTGCTCGGGCCTAATAACAAGCAGCGTTGAAGGCCCTCGCAGCGAAGCGCCGCTGCGGCCTCATGGCGACCGTGGGAACTCCAGCGATTCTTCCCGGTCGCCATCGAGAACACTCACGCTACCGTCACACGCCCGTTTTCTGGAGTGCGCATTCGCCGAACCTTTCACATAAGCTGCGACCGCATATATAACTATTGTAATAATGTAGGGGGCGCACTTGAGTCAAA